TTAGAATAATTTTATATATATATATTCAACAATGTCCACAAGCAAGTCCCTAGAAGCCCTGTGGTACGACGGACTTGCATATATTTTTTACATGCATGGGTTAATAGCCAGCACTTTATATTATAAACAACGAATAGTTACCTTATTTTGTACACTGCATAACGCGCATGCGCTAAACAGAATTTTGAATTTCATTTGTCTTGTAAAAATTTTAATGGTACAAAAATTGTTTAATTGTACGTTTTGTACTTATATGTAAAAATATGTAATTTTGTTTTATTGAAATATATACGGATACTTGTGTTGTAAAAAAAAAAAAAAAAAAAATATTTGTAGAAATTTTATTTTCGATTAATTTTATGTGGTTTATCCATGTGACATTTTCGTCAGGAAGAACTCCTAGAAACTTCATTGAGTGTTATCTTTTTATAAATTGATTCCCAATGCTAACATTTTGAAGCTTTGAGGAATTTCGTCTCTTTGATAAAATTGATAAAAAAATATATACTTAGTTTTGGTTAATTTTAATGACAATTTTTTTGTATTAAACCATTTAGTTACTTTTAACAGTTCTTTGTTGACTGTTTTAAATAGGGTTTTTACATTACTATAGGAATAAAATAAATTGGTATCGTCAGCAAACAAAAAAAAGTCTAAAATATTCGAGGCTTTGCTTAAATCGTTAATGTATATTAAAAACAAAAGTGGTCCTAAAATGGATTCTTGAGGAACTCCACAAGTGATTGTCTTATTTTCAGTTTTACCACCATCATAAGAAACATACTGCTTTCTATTAGAGAAGTAGTTTTTAAACCAAACTATATTTGCATTTTTAATTCCGTAATTTAATAGTTTTTTTTTGGTAAAATATGGTGGTCAACTGTGTCAAAGGCTTTGCTAAGGTCTATAAAAATACCTTTGATAAAAAAAAGTATACATAAAATGTATACTCTTTTTTATCAAAGGGCTCGAAAAATATCATGAACAAGTTTAAGAACAGCATGATCAGTTGAATGACCTTTTTTGAACCCAAATTGTTTGTTGTATAAAATATTATTTGTTTCTAGAAAAGAGAATAGTCTATTATACTCGTTCAAGAATTTTAGAGAAGCAAGGAAGAATGGAAATAGGTCTATAATTAGAGACACCCGATTTGAAAACCGGTATAACTCTTGCAGTTTCAAAACTTTCTGGAAATATTCCTTGTTTTAAAGAAAGATTAAAAATATGCAACAGTGGTGTTATTAAATAATGCATAGATTTTATTACAACATTACTGCTTATTTCAAGATTGAGTTAAATGCACTTGGTAATTTTTTAAATGTATTTCTTTGTTGTTTAATATGTGGTGTTATTCTTTTTATTATTTGAGCCTTAGACTTTTGTTTTGTGTTCTAAAGTTTAATATAAAAAAAAAAAAAAATAATAAATAAATAAATTCGTTATTTTTCAATAAATAAAAATATTTCCGTGCTTTTAAAAGAATATGTTTAAACCTATATGTTTTGTAAGTAACTTACGGATTATATATATTTACAATATATATAATCAATATATATAATCCAAAAAAAAATGTTTATCAGCTACCCGTACCATGAATATAGAACAGTAGGTGATACAATAAAGGAATAAAAAAAATGCATTATTAAGGATTCTTCTACGTGACCAATATTCGCTATACTTTAACAAGACTCATTTTCATACCATCATGTGCATTTGTTAAGAGGACCTAGCTATGGGTCTAATGTTCACAGACCCAAGAGGTCATAAGTCAGCTTCCATAATTTGAAAAGAAGGATGAATAGAGTAAAGGTTTTCTATTGTTGTTTTTTTTAGTTTAAAATTAAATTATAAAAACTTTTCATTAACTTTGAAGTAACTAAAACAAAAAGTGGACCTCACGAGTAACGGTCACAAAAAGTCAATTTTTCCCTGTCCTATGTAAGATATCAAAAAAGTGTAAATCGCTAAACAAAAAATGTGGTAGAGGAGGGGCAGTAATAGTTAAAAAAATTTATGGTAGTGGACTTAAAGCAAACTAACTCTACTAATTTTAAAATTTGAAAAAGTAGCAAAAGAACAGTAGCGGTTTCTGGTTGCCAAAGAAATGGAAAGTAGCGGTAGCGCTTTCAAATATGCGGTAACAATGCCCAGCTCTGTGGAATTTGCTTTAATGGGTAAATACTTTTTAATTACATTAAACATTTTTATTCAAAAGAAAAGCAATATGTGTCATATATAAGTTTGAAAAACTGCGTTAAGAATGTGAAATTTTTTTTGTTTTTAATTTTTCAACTTTTTGTATCCGAATGTATCCAAACTAATTTTTTAACAGAGTATAGCTAAACTCCTAAGGTACAAGGGTGTAAAATTTTTTCGCCAAATTAAACCGCAATTATTTGCAATTCAATTTTTTTCATATCATGCTCGCTCTTTTTCAAAAATGTAGAATTTGAAATAAGTATATATCAGCAATAACCTTTTTTATCATCTGGAAGATTTACATTATGGCCTGAAAAAAATTTTGAAGACTCGTTCTTTAATATCAAAAAAACGGAAGGTTAGTAAAATTGCAAAGTGCGACTGATTTGACCACAGCTGCTGAAATTGCATGCCGTTTGTCGGAACACAAAATCCAAGCTACTTTTATCAGAAAAAGTTTAGAATCATGAAAATAAATAAAATCAAGACTTTATTTGTAGTGGCAGACAGTTAAATTATAACGAGGTATTAGATAGGTATTAAATTGTGAAAAGGTATTTCATTGGCTTATTACATTAACTCTAAATGTACAAATGTACAGTCATTCTCATAAACAAAATGCTAGAGTGGACTTAAAAGACAGGGTGTATAGTATTTCCATCTTTAAAGGCATGGCATATAGTAATTCCATTTTGTTATAGACTTTACAAAGCGAAAAAATTATGTTATTAATCAGATGAACATATTTCTGTAACAAAATTCCAATATCTATAAGATTCAACGAATCTCAATTTATTTATTACGAGTTAAGGGTTTGACGAAATAAAAAAATTAAACTTTAAATGATATTGACGTGATTACGGGTTCACATTTAAAGTTTAAGTTTTCTATTACGAACACTTTTCTATGGCTATGATATTAACTATTATAAGTTTGAAAAATTTTGAACTGAAATCAAAACTCTTTAACTTAATCTATATCCGTGGTACTACATGCGTGTTGACACATCCTACACACCTTGTTGCTGAGCTCAAAATACTTGTTATAAAAAGTTATAAAAACATGCCTTTATCCGATCGGACAACTATCGGAAGAGTTTCAAGAAGCCCGCAATAAAAATTTTGTTGATTCTGCGAGAATAAATTACGTATATGCTTTTGGTAACATAATAACAGCTGATTGAAAATATTCTGTGATGAAAATGAAGATTATTTATGGACCGAGTCCTCGGATAGTTAAAAACAATGATTCGCCCATTTATAACTGTTAAGAAAAGATAAATTTATAAAAAAATAAAGTACTTATTTTTTAATAAAAAATACCCTAAAACATCAAAACTAATCTTAAAACACCAAAATTATATTAACTACATTGTTAGGAATCAAATTGCAGAACAATAGTTTTTAGTCCGAAAAAACTGACATAGTGACCTGTCACTTTTTAAACAAGGCAAACAGTGAAAACCAGAAAATTCAACTAACCAGAGTAAGATGTTTTAAAGGAATAAAACTTAACGCTGTATAAGATTTTACTCAAAGTATATACAATAAAAAATACCAAAGATACGCGACAGATATTTTTGACGGCTATTGAGATAAAAAGCAGCCGTGGCGCAGTGGTTAGAGTTCTGGCTCAGAACCCAGAGGTTCGACGCCAGCTCCAGCCCAACAAGCGACATTGGTACGGAAGGAGGCGTGAACTTCCCGTTAAATGCTTTCCCACGGTGCTCTATGATAAGATCGTAAGGACTTCTGGGAGCACCTAAATACATACAAAAAAAAAGAAAAAAAAAAAAGATAAAGGCACAGAGTAAAGAGCATTTACGCAGAAAATTTATTCTACAAAATTTCACGGTTGTTATCTGCAAGAAGAAGCTTATGTCGTATATTCAGGATTTTTTTCCTGAAAAAGTAATATGAAAAATAAAGCCAACTTCATAAATTTTCTTCAAGTTTGTGGCATGTAACTGTTGTGGCTATTGATACAGATATAGCAACAGTGGTGCAGTAAGTACTGCGCCACTGTTGCTATATCTGGGCACCGAAAAATTGGAAAAACAATGTCTGACAGCAAAATAGATGAGATAGAGGTATTCAGGATTTTCGCAAAACTCCAAACATACTTAGAATCATTAAATGCAAACGTGGCGCAATGGTTAGAGTTCTGGCTTAAAACTAACAGGTCCTAGGTTTAACGCCGGCCCTAGCCCAATAAGCGGCATTGGTAAGGAAAGTGGCGCGAACTTTCTAGTTTAATTTTCTTCTGCGGCGCTCTGAGATAATACCGTAAAGACTTCTGGGAGCACTTTAATAACCACAACAACAACAAAAAAGTAGACGTTGGAAATACCTTGGTTAAAGGTTTAATATTTTTTTATAGAGGAAAGAAGGGAAGCACACTGATAAAATTTAGGTATTTAGCTCATTTTTAGCTAAGGAGTCTTAATTGTATAAAAATAATTATTTTATTTTACTCTTAATTTCAGTTACAATTAATACATCGATTTAGTATGCAAAGATATATCGTCAAATAAGTTTCCACCAACTGAAAAGCTGCCTGTTTTCATAGTCTAATGAAATTAATGATGTTCCTTATCGCATTATCAAATAATGTATCAAATAATGTATACCATATTTTCTACAAATATATCCCTTGGCCTACCGCATTTTAAAGTTAAAAATTAGGGAAATTGTTATTGATAGAAATAAAAAAGTTTTGGTCGAAAGTGTTCAAATTGTGTTTCTACTTAAAAAGAATAAATTAGCGTAAAAATATTTTCAAAAACTACTACTTTGATG